CATCTCGCGACCCAAGACGGCGCTGTAGATGCAGCCATAATGACAGCATTCCTGGCATCAGGAAAGAGAAAGGGACAACATAAGTGCATCATGTCCCCTTTGTTAAAGTTGCAGGGGCGCCTGGGTGGCTCAGTTGGTTAAGCAGCTGACTTCGGCTGAGGTCATGGTTTTCACGGTTCATAGATTCGAGCCCTGCACCCCGCTCTGTGCTGACAGCTTGGATCCTGGAGCCTGCTTCAGATTCTGTGTCTCCCTCTTCTCTCTGCCCCTCCCCAGCTCATACTCCATCTGTCTCTCTCTCTCAAAAATAAATAAACATAAAAAAAAATAAAGTTGCAAGGGAGGCTGGGTAATGTAATTTTTTATGCCACCTGGGTATGTGCCCAGATAAAAATTCAGAGTTTGTAAAACTATAGAAAGAAGAAAGAGAAAACAAATGTGGGACACCAGCAATCTCTGCTTCTGAATAAATCAGGCACAAAACTTGAGCACAAACTCAAGTACACTGACACTGGGATCACATGTTCCTTCCATTGTAGTTACCCATCGCAGCTAGTTTTTTTCTTTTTAATTGAGATATAACTTATATTCTGTGGAATGCTCAGACCTTAAGTGTACAACCCAATGAATTTTGATAAATTTATATAACTGTGTAACCTAAGTCCTAACCAAGATGTAGAGTATTTCCATTACCCCAGAAGCTTCTTTCATGACCCCTTCCAAGCAATCTCCACTTCCCATAAGCAACTGCTGATCTAATTTCTATCATCATGGAAGTTTAGCCCCTTCTTAAACTCAGAAAGCAGAATCATAAAGCACGTACTCTACTGTGTCTGGTTTCTTTTCACTCAACATAATTTTTTTTTTAATTTTTTTTTCAACGTTTATTTATTTTTGGGACAGAGAGAGACAGAGCATGAACGGGGGAGGGGCAGAGAGAGAGGGAGACACAGAATCGGAAACAGGCTCCAGGCTCTGAGCCATCAGCCCAGAGCCTGACGCGGGGCTCGAACTCACAGACCGCAAGATCGTGACCTGGCTGAAGTCGGACGCTCAACCGACTGCGCCACCCAGGCGCCCCTCAACATAATGTTTTTAAATATTCATTGTGTTGTGGGTTACAGTAGTTTGTTCTTTTTGTTTGGTGAATAGTATTCCACTGTATACATATACTACAACAGAACAAAATGTATTCCCCTTTTGGTAGACATTTGATTTGATTTCTGCTTTTGGTCATTACGAATAAAAGCTGCTATAAACATTCTTTGACATTCCCATTTTTATAAAAGCATAAACCAATAGAGCCGTGTATTTATTTTTCTTGTAAAATACCTTTTTGGAAGAAGGACTATATATATATTCCTAATTCTGAATAAATCTGTACATCATTTATAATGGTCAGGTTTGATGAGAACTGGAGAGGTGAGGGATTAACCCATAGATAATGGGTGAATCTTTATCAGGTTATGAAATGAAATCAACCCCTTACAACAAATGCAATTTGGGTGAACAAACAGTTTTATACCACAAACATTTTTAACAAATGTGTTTCTTATAACAAATATTCATAGATCACATTAAAAAATTATCTCCCTTAGATTTTTTTAAACCGAATATTTCAACACGAATATATTTTTTCTGATAGACTTTCACAGAAAGTCAACTTCATGATGACCCGTGAGAGAATAAATACACGTTTTACTTCAATATTTGGAGCTTCATGTAATTGTTTCCTATTAGAGCCCCATACAGAGTAAATACCCAGTGAACATTAGGTAAATTTATTTTTTTTTTACATTTCCTATTGATTCCAAAGTTATGCTACCAACAAGGAAGTTTGAGGTTTTATTATCCAAGTCCTGCTTCCCATGGGGTCGTCTGCCTGATTGGGAAGGGGAAAGGTATAGCTCTTTGGGAGCAGCCTTCTCTCACTTGATCATGATGACTTCCCCTCTGGTATCTCTCACACAGGGTGAACTCAAGGCTGAGATGCCAGAATTCAAGAATACCTGGGAGGCAAGTTTACTTTACTCCTGTTTTAAATCGGGTGCAATTGAGACTCTGTGGCTTAGTCTCAGCATTTCCAAGTCTGAGACCAAAGGGTGAGCAGATCCTCTGTCTGGAGTCTCCTGTAAGATATGAGCTCTGGTTGGTAGCTGGGTCTTAATTCTTTCTGAATGGCTAACTGAGGAACCTGCAGGAACTGACTCTTCTCCGGACATTATTTAAATCTCTGTGTTCAGTACAAAAGGAGGAACCTTTGGTGAGAATAGCAGAGCCACAGAAGTGTTGGGGTGAGTTTTGTTTTGTGAGCATGTGCTTCTTTGCATGTCATGATTATAATTCCACTTTGGAAGCAAAGGGAATGTTACCATGAGGTGCATGGCATTTTACGAAGTGCTTTCATATAGGTCTGGTCTTTTCCTTAGGCAATCACAGTGCTAGGTATTGGGATTCAGAGATGGAGAGGCTGTGGTCTTGGACCTTGGAGATCTTTATTCTTTAGATATTTTCTGAATACCTACAGAGTACCAAATACTGTGCTAAAAAGGAGAGAGGCTATGGAATATCTCTACCCACTGTTAATTCCAGTTTTTATTTTATTTATTTTATTTTATTTTGAAAGGGATATTCCATTTCTATCTTTCTTTTTCTTTTTTTTTCAATATATGAAGTTTATTGTCAAATTGGTTTCCATACAACACCCAGTACTCATCCCAAAAGGTGCCCTCCTCAATACCCATCACCCACCCTCCCCTTCCTCCCACCCCCCATCAACCCTCAGTTTGTTCTCAGTTTTTAAGAGTCTCTTATGCTTTGGCTCTCTTCCACTCTAACCTCTTTTTTTTTTTCTCCTTCCCCTCCCCCATGGGTTCCTGTTAAGTTTCTCAGGATCCACATAAGAGTGAAACCATATGGTATCTGTCTTTCTCTGTATGGCTTATTTCACTTAGCATAACACTCTCCAGTTCCATCCATGTTGCTACAAAGGGCCATATTTCATTCTTTCTCATTGCCACGTAGTACTCCATTGTGTATATAAACCACAATTTCTTTATCCATTCATCAGTTGATGGACATTTAGGCTCTTTCCATAATTTGACTATTGTTGAGAGTGCTGCTATAAACATTGGGGTACAAGTGCCCCTATGCATCAATACTCCTAATTCCAGTTTTTAAAAAGTACTCCCTACCCCCAGTGTGGGACTAAAATTCATGACCCAAGATCAAGAGTCACACGCTCTACTGACTAAGCCAGCCAGATGCCTCCCCCTCCGCTCCCCTGTATATTCACTGAATGCTATCTCATGGCATGTGCTTCAGTTGGCACTGGAGATGGAGTGGTGAGTAAGATACAATCTGTGCCTCCAGGAAGTTCACAATTTACTGGGGGCAGATGGTCACATAAAACAATTACATTTTAGTGTGGAAAGTGCTGTAATTTGAAAATGTCCTGCGAGAAGAGGACCACTGATTGTGAATTTGGAAGATGGATTTCATATCTCAGAAGAATTCAAGGCAACACAGAGGATGGGAACTTAAGTTCTCTTGGGATGGGCTGGGGGTGGGATCTATCTCTAAGTCAGGTAGTATCTTCATGCTATAGTTTAGACATTGGGTCTCTGAGGGGTTAAAGAACTCTATCTCTCATCTATCTATCTATCTATCTATCTATCTATCTATCTATCTATCATTTGTTTATCTATCCATCCATCCATCCACCCATCCACCCACTTATTTTTAATAACCCTTTAGACATCACATAGATACCACCTGAAGAAACCTGATGTAAACTTACGAGACTGGACTGATAGCAGTGCTTCCTTTCATAAATGGCTTCTTGGTAAAATACCCCAGCTAGGCTGAGAGTTTGGTGCTGGCCTCTTCTCTCTTTGTCTCTGAAGGCATAAACTCTATCAGTGATTTCCTTCTGGCTCATGGTGGTCCTTCACCAGCTGAGCCTACCCCACTTGCTAGAGGAAGGAAGCTTTGTGGCATGAGTGGATGTCATGTGACTCCTAATCTCAGAACCCCAGAACCTCACTGTATGAGGGGCCGTATTGATACACACAGATCTCAGCCACTTTGAACAAAGTCCATCATGGATGAGGGCAGTGTACAAATCAGTCAGTGCGCAATCTTGCTGAAGCCCTGGGGTGTTGGAAGGCTAGAATTAGAGAAGGTTGTGTCAGAGCATGAGTAGACGCTGTGGGCAGAGGGTGTTTATACTTCTCTTGCCCCTGGGGGGGGCATATGATAGGAGGTATCAGTGAAGAGAGGAGTTGTGTATGGGTTGAGCTGGACCTTTGGAAAGGGATGAGGTCACCAAGTGACCAAGTGTAGAAGGAGGGAAAGGAGGAGAAGCAGAAATAAGAATGCTGAGTGTTAAGAGGTATATTTTCTGGAGTCTGAAAGGTAAGTGGAGAGGTGAGAATCATGTTCTGAAAACCAAGGATGGAAAGGGGACAAGAGGAAGTGGTACAAAGAGAAACTGCAGGCAAAAGACAACTGAAATCATTCAAAGGCCATAGAGAGGCCTTTAAAATAGAGACAGCAACACTGTCCTTACTGCCACCATCATCTGAGGGGACATTCATCTCCTAATAGGTGCCCCCTCCTCTGGTCTCCTCCCGTTAGTCCAACCTCCATATACAAAGGGATTTTACTCTCCAGCTGATGAACATTCCTGAAGATTTCCTGTTGTCTGCAGGATAAACCCCTAAGTGCACAACACTCCTTCAGGAACTAGTGCTAGACTCTGTCTCCAGTTTTATTTTTTATATTCTGCCCTTTACTCCAGCCACACGTGGGTGGATTTTCATGACTTTGTACACTCTTCTTTTTTGGACTGTTCTTTCCTTCTGTACATAACTAACTAAAGTCTACTCATCTTTCAATATCCAGCTCACAGATTGGCAAGGGATTAATACGTAATTCATGCACTTAATGAGTCTTTTGTATCATTTCAGATCACCCCACACAAATTACTGCCTCCTGTGGCAACTTCATGGCTCGCATACACAACGTGACTGAATTCATTTTCCTAGGATTTTCTCCCAGCCGGGAGGTGCAGAAAGTTTGTTTCGTGCTATTTCTGCTTTTGTACACAGCAGTTTTGCTGGGCAATTCCCTCATTGTGCTCACTGTCATGACCAGCAGAAGTCTTGGTTCTCCCATGTACTTCTTCCTCAGCTGCCTGTCCTTTGTGGAGATCTGCTACTCCTCCACTACAGCCCCCAAACTCATCTCAGATTTGCTGGCTGAAAGGAAAGCAATATCACTGTGGGGCTGCATGACACAGCTTTTCTTTATGCACTTCTTCGGTGGTGCTGAGATCTGCCTGCTCACTGTGATGGCCTATGACCGCTATGTGGCCATCTGTAGGCCCCTCAACTACAGGACCATCATGAACCGGCAAGTGTGTGCTGTCCTGGTGGGAGTAGCATGGGTGGGGGGCTTTGTGCATTCCTTTGCCCAAATCCTCCTGCTCTTCCACTTGCCCTTCTGTGGCCCCAATGTGATTGACCACTATTTCTGTGACCTGCTTCCCCTGCTCAAACTTGCCTGCTCTGACACCTTCCTCGTCGGTCTGCTGATTGTTGCCAACGGGGGGACCTTGTCTGTGATCAGCTTTGGGATCATCTTAGCCTCCTATGTGGTCATTTTACTCCATCTGAGGACTCGAAGCTCTGAGGGGCGGAGTAAGGGGAGTAAGGCCCTCTCCACCTGTGGGTCCCATATCACCGTGGTTACCTTATTCTTTGGGCCCTGCATCTTCATCTATATGAGGCCTTCCACCACCTTGTCTGTAGACAAGATGGTGGCTGTGTTCTACACCGTCATCACGCCGCTCCTCAACCCTGTCATCTACTCCCTGAGAAATGCTCAAGTGAAGAAGGCCATGAAGAAACTGTGGATCAGGACAATGAAGCTAGATGAGAAATAAAGGGTGACTCTTGGTATTGATCCTTGGGTTTAGAATGATGCTGAGTCCAAACTGAAGGGGCAGAATGGGGTGAAGGAAAGGTCACAGCACTTGTTATTTCTGGAGTAATTCTAATGGTCTCATCTCCAAACACTGTATTCAAATGACCTGTGAGATAGTTCGTCTTATGGATATATCTATAACTTGATTGCCCATTTTCTGTTAGATGTTCAGATTGTTTCTAATTTTTTTATTGCTATAAATAACACTGTGTTAAGTATTCTTGAATGGAAATCTTTATACTTCTGAAATTCTGTTTGACTCACTTGCTATAATGAATCTACTGTGTTAAAAGGGATAATGACCTTGATGTATAGTGTTAAATTGATTCTTAGAAAGATTGTAGGGGCATCTGGGTGGCTCAGTTGGCTGAGTGTCCAACTCTTGATTTAAGCTCAGATCATGTTCTCACAGTTCGTGAGTCCCAGCCCTGCCTGGGGCTCTATGCAGTCAGTGCAGAGTCTGCTTGGGATTCTCTCTCTCTCTCTCTCTCTCTCTCTCTCTCTCTCTCTCTCTCTCCCCCTATCCTGCTTGTGTGTGCTCTTTCTCACTCAAAATAAATAAACTTTAAAAGGGTTGTAATAACCTTTCTTGTGAAAGTACTCCTGACAAATTAAACACTGTCATTAAACATTTTCTTGATGGCAAACAAGATTTTACATAGTCTCAAAGTATCTCCCCATAAGATACTTATTAATTGCAAAAGACAAACATGGCTCTACAGTTGAGAAAACTGGAAGACATTCCCTTAAACATTTACTCAAGTAAACATCATCAGTATTGAGACTGGAGAGGCACAGGATAACATTGCTGTGGTATTCTTGCCACAAATACACAATGAGTCTAACCGTGACAAAATATCAGGCAAACCCTAACTGAAAAATATTCTGCAAAATTAACAGCCTGCATTCTTCAAAACATGAATAAGAGATTACGGAATTTTTCCAGATACAGACATAGGTAATTAGATGCAACCTGTGATCCTTGATTGGATTCTGTACTGGATGAAGGTCATTAGTGAGCACAAGCTGTGTTGAGGGGACGATAGAATTGTATCAGAGTTATTTCCTGATTCTGATAATTGTGTGTTTATGTCAGAGAATGTCCTTGGATTGGGGAATCATTTAGTAAGGTATCTAAAGGTAAGTGGGCATTATGTCATCAACTTTGAAACATTTCAGAAAAATTTGTTTGCCTACCTGTCAATCTAGTGAGAGAATGAATGGTAAAGAAAATGTGGCAAAATGTTAATATTTGGGGAATTTGGATTAAGGGTATACAAGAGTTCTTTGTATTATTGCAACTTTTTTGTAAATCAAATTATTTTAAAATATAAAATTAAAATGCTTTGCAAATTAGATAGCTTATTATGTGTGTCTACGTGTGTGTGTGTGTGTGTGTGTGTGTGTGTGTGTGTGTAGGGGCTTTTTAAATGATTTTTTTCATAAGTTTATTATTTATTTTGAGAGAGAGAGAAAAAGAGAGAGTGCACAGGGGAAGGGCAGAGAGAGAGGGAGAGAGAGAATCTCAAGCACGCTCCACACTGTCAGCACAGAGCTCCCTTGGGGCTTGATCTCATGGAAACATGATTCTGACCTGAGCTGAAATCAAAAGTTGAACGCTTAACCACTTAACCGCTTAACCAGCTGAGCCATCCGGACACCCTTCCCTTAGCATTTTGAATATACCATTCCACTCTTCCCGGACCTGGGAGGCTTCTGCTGAGAGAGTCAGTGATGGTCTTGGAGGTCTCTTGTGTGAGAGAATTTTTTTTCTCTTGCTGCTTTTAAAATTCTATCTTTGCTTTTAAACAGTTGCATTATAATGGTCTTGGAGAAGATCAATTTTGCATTGAAATTTTGGGGTGATCTGTTAGTTTCATGAAGTTGGATGTCCAAACATCTCCCCGGATTTGGGAAGTATGCAGCCATTATTTCTTTAAATAAGATTTGTGCCCTCTTGTCTCCTTCTTGGACTGCAATCATTCTAGACTGTTTCTTTTAATGATATCCCACTGCTCATACAGGCTTTCTACACCCTTTTATTTATTTATTTTTTCTGTGTTCTCCTTTGGATAAATTCAGAAGTCCTTTTACTCATAGATTTCTTTCTTCTGATCAATCGATTCTGATGCCAGTGTTCTCTTGCATTTTGAACTCTTCACTTGGTTAGCTTGCCTGTGCTAATCATTTCACAATGCGTATTATATATCAGAACAGCATGTTGTACACCTTGAATACACACAATTTTTACTTGTCAACCCTACTTCAATAAAGCTGGAAAAATTAAACCAAATATTAGTTATCTGTATTACTATTCTAAGCAAATGATGTGTGTGTGTGTGTGTGTGTGTGTGTGTGTGTATGTGCATACCTGTGTGGTTGTGAGGCAAGGAGGTGTGATGTAAGGTAGGAAAGAAGTGCTCTCTCTGTACACCCTTTAGGCCAGCAGAAATGCACGCACAGGCCACTATTTGTGTTTCTCCATTCTGTTCCACCAGCGTCTGGGACTCCCAGAAGTTCTTCACAGGTTCTGACTGTAAGCCAGATGTGAATGATATTGAGAGTTTTCAACATTATTTTCTTCTCCAGAGGTTTTTTGGTTTTTCGTTTTGTTTTGTTTTGTTTTGTTTTGTTTTTTAGTGAGAGGTTGAGATGGGGCGCCTGGGTGGCGCAGTCGGTTTAGTGTCCGACTTCAGCCAGGTCACGATCTCGCGGTCCGTGAGTTCGAGCCCCGCGTCCAGCTCTGGGCTGATGGCTCAGAGCCTGGAGCCTGTTTCCGATTCTGTGTCTCCCTCTCTCTCTGCCCCTCCCCCGTTCATGCTCTGTCTCTCTCTGTCCCAAAAATAAATAAACGTTGAAAAAAAAAAATTTAGTGAGAGGTTGAGAAAGGCTGAGCCCATGACAGTAGCCAATGCCATTTAGTATGCAAATAATAAATTAGGAAGTTACTGATGTATATGCAAAAGGATTTAACATAGGTTTCTTTTAAAAAAATTTTTAAAAAATGTTTATTTATTTTGGAGACAGAGCATGAGTGGGGGAGGGGCAGAGAGAGAGGGAGACACAGAATCCGAAGCAGGCTCCAGGCTCTGAGCTGTCAGCACAGAGCCCGACGCCGGGCTCGAACTCACAAACCGTGAGATCATGACCTGAGCCCAAGTCGGTCGCTCAACCGACTGAGCCACCCAGATGCCCCTTTAACATAGGTTTCTTAAAACAGTGATAATTCCTGAAGCTTTAAAAAAAGGAGTTTGAGTTTTTGTGGTGTTTCAGGTGGATTATGGTTAGGAGGAAGAAACCGTATGTGTACCGCTGATTCATAATTTGTCCCAAGACAGAATTTGTTGGAGCAGCCTTACTACCCAGAGCAGAAACAGATGGGGCACATTTCCTACTTTGGTTTCCCACTACCTGTTTGTTTCTTAATGGGGCACCAGTGGCTGGTGACATATTCTGTTTGGGCAGGAAATGTTACGTGTAGACATTTGACCCAGATGGACAGTTTATTAGTTGTGTAATTTTGAACCATTCTCCTGGTCTTTCTGAGCCTCAGTTACCTAATCTGTTGAATGGCAATAGTAGCTACTATAGTAGAGTGTTTCTTTTACTATCTGAGGTGTTAGAAAGAAAGAAAGGTTGAAAGACATGATACTGCCCAACACAAGTGTGATGTGTTGTTCCTAGGAGACTAGTCTTAGCGGTTAGGGAGCTCTAGTCTTCCTGAAGCCCTTGAACATGAAAATCATATGCTGACAATTTGTGGTAAAACACTTAGGGCTTTAAGATTGAGCAGTTGGAAGACTCTTGTGCTAGGAGTCAGGAAGGAGCTGGGTTAGCCAGGCTACCAGTGCATGGGGCAACTGCACAATAATTTTTCCTCTTTGGCTGTCTTCCCACCTTTACAGGAATAATGTGGACAAGGTGATCTGCCAGGCTCTTCCATGTCTAGCATTCTCTGATCAGGTGACATGTTGGAGTATGTGTGGGAAGTGGTCCAGGTCCACTGGGTTAAAGTCTCCCTGGCATCATTGGTCCCATGAGGGGTGAGGTCAGAACAGGCCACCCAAGAGCCTCTTGAGAAAGTCTGTGGTGGGGTCAGAGGGCTATTGTTGATATTGAGTTCTTCTCTGCCACTTGCTTGAGGATGCACTTGCCACTTGCTAGAGGGAAACCTCTAGGGGGCAGGACAAGAGGGGGTTAATCATGTGGGGCAAGTAGACATACCAACCTTATAATTGGATTAATTAGAGCTATGTTCCCTAACCTCTGAAGGAAGCAATTGGGACGTTGACTTTTGCTCTTCTCAGAAACTCCCCAGACAGGAGATGCTACAAAGTTCAGGGAATTCAATTCTCTGATGGAAGTCTACATCTCTTACACACATTTTAATGCTCCCAGCACACATTTTCCCCAAACCTCATTCTAGTGGATTTTAGGGTGGACTGGCCCTGTTCCATCCCCCCGTAGCTGTTTTAGTGAGAAAGTTATCAAGTGCTGGAGGTGGTGGCGTTGATGGCACCTGGTGAGTCCGTAGGGGAAGATCAGAATTTAGTGGTGCCTCTATGTGTGGAACAGATTCAGAATCAGCTCATTCACTGAACCCTTACCACAGATGGGCAGACCCTCAGGCAGAGTCTTTCACACACACATCGGCACCACGCTGGTGTTACTCTGGCATCCACACATTTTCACGTATGGGGAGGCTTTCTTAGATTTGCTCACTCAGCTGGTGGGCAGACCTTGGACATCACCCTGTTAAAGTCTTTCCTGCCTGCTTAAATGACAGGGTGAGAACATAACTCTCTAGCATGGCTGAGAGCAGGTGTTATAGTGATTCTCACCAGAGCTGCTGGTAACATGGCCAACGTGGAATGGTTTGCCAAGCTAGTTTTTAATTCACTACTGACTCATGCATTTTTGAGAAATGTTTTTGAAAAATTCGAGGGGCCTGGCTAAGACATTCTCACATCTGGTCTTCTCTTGTAGAAATGAAGGCATTAGCCCATTTGAGCCTGGATGGGGATTAGGCTATA